TTACTCTTTTCTGGAGTTACTACAACTGCTTCTTCAAGCCTATTTACTTACTACACACCCAGACTTCTTGTCGGACTAGATCTTTTTAATACTATAATCAATACATCCAACTTCATGGTCTATTAAACTTTTAATATCCTGTTTCTTTAATGCAGAAACTACACTTTTATCCCAATTGACTAGTTTGCTTTCTCTTGCTCGCAGATATTTACAATAGTTGTAAAGCTTAATTATATTTTGGAACACACATACTGTTTTTGGTTCTGTACCAATAAGTATTGCAATTTTTTTGTCTTTACGCAAGATGTTTGATTTATGATTTTCTACTATCAAATTCTGTTCATTTACTGATCTTTTAAACATGCCTCGGTATTCCTCAAGCTTTGCATAACTCTTCGACATTTCTGATGTTCCCGGGCTATTCTGTGTTACTAGTTCTTGCATAACAATATAGACTTCTATTTTTGATTTGTTTGTTTATGTGTCCGCTTCTTTGTTTATTTGTTTATGTTAGATTTCTAATTTGTGCACTTGTCACGTTGTTTGTTTATATGTCACAAGTAGAGATCTGCATTTGGGGTCTAGCCAATTTTTCTGTTTTTCCAAAAATTTCTTTGCCAAAAAACCTTTCTTCAAAATAACTAGCTTATTTACTTTTTATTGAGGTTTAGTATCTTAAGAAAATATCTTCCTCTTACAACAACTAATATTCTTTTTTAATCGCTTACTGCAAGTTTATCTAGTACTGTTGTAACTTTTGCTATATTTTAGTTCTGCTCTGATTTTGGTTACAGTGATTGTCGGGAAGAGTTGATTTTTTGTTACTATTATAAAAATATTTAAATTTTAATAAATTAATTTTTTGGATTTTAAAATTTATATCTAATTTTTTATTGATTTTAATTAAATTTTAATATTTAAAAAAGTCAAAATTTTAGCAAATTTTAGTTCTTATTTAACTTTTGATATAGTAATTAAAAAAAATTAAAATTTTTTGCTAATCTAGATTTGTTTAATACTACTTTTAGTAAAAATTTTAAAACTATAGTTTTTTAAATTTAAAAAATAAAAAGGGAAAAATACTTATAATTCTTAATAGATAATCATTAATCATCAAAGTTTATAGCAAAAAATTTTAATTTTTTTTTTACTATTTGGGTAAAGTTATTTCTTATAGCTGGGAGTTTGTTTTCGGAGTATTCTAAAATATAAATATTCTAAAAACTTCTAAATTGTTCTTTATTTTTACTAATAAAAAGCAATTAATAATTGATATAAATTCTCAAGCTATTATTTATATTCATAATTAAATTAGTAACAGTAAAGTGAGTTATATTATATTTTTGTTATAAGTAATGAATAATTATAATTAGTCATTAATTTTAAGAAATCAGTATAGAAAAGAATGAACATACAAAGTATTCAAATATTATCAAAAATCTGATAGTAATTTAATTTTAAACTATAACACTAACTCTAATTTAAGCTGAGAATTTAATCATATTAAGTTGTAGTATAATACAGTCTTGGATATTACCAAATATGGAAATCAATTCACAACATAGTAAAGAATACTCTAGAAACGATTTATATATAAAATAACTAGTAGCAGGATCATGAGCATATTAATAATAAACTTTTAAATTAATTCAAATATAAATAGTCTTAAAGATACATAGTCTAGGGATCTCTTATGATCTCAGGAGCTTTATAAGGTGATTGTTTACCAAATCAGTAAACAAACGTGATTGGTATAAATTTAGCCTCATAGACTAGTATAGAATAGCTATAGACTTAAATAGAAATACCAAGAATTTTCTAAATATACAAAAAAGGGTGTGATTTGCATTGTCCAAATTTGGTAATATCTGAAACTGTAATAAGCATAAGAGTTGCTAATTATTTTTTAAACGATATAAACATGTATTGCAAAATATACTGTTTACTTTGATATTTGTAATTCCAAATTTGATATTAATTTTAAAAGACCTTAACAAAGATTTGCAAACACTGCACTTTTTTAAAATATACTAATTAATACAGTAATAAATTAGTAATGCCAAAAGAATATAACTTCAATCATTCAAAATTTATAATTAAAGTTTTATTTTCTTTTGAAGTTATTTAAAATAATATCTAATATACTTACTTAAACTAAATTAATGCAAAATTAAAGTATAATACATCAGCAAATATATATATATAAACTTTTATAAGTTTTTACAATACATAAAAAAATCGTAAACTTATATAAAATTAGTATAAAACTACATAAGACTTACAGAGCATAAGAAAATTGTAAACTTATATAAAAATTTTATATAAATTTACAAGTTTTTTATGATGCATAAGAAAATTGTAAACTAATATAAAATTTTTATATAATTTATACTTTTCTTAACTTTATATAAAAATTTTATATAAGTTTATAATTTTTTTATACTATAAAACTTATAAAAGTTTACAAAAGTATATAAAAATTTATAAATTCTATTAAGATTTAATATCAAAAAAATAAAAATATTTATGAAACATTTTTAAAGATTTTAAAGATATAAAACAAATTTTAATATAAACTATTTTTATAACTTTGTGAAATTACGAAAGTTTACAAAAGATTTAAATTGATTAATAATTTTTTTAAATAAATCAATAACTGAATAAAAACTTGTAAAGCATTTTTCAATACTATGAAATATTTTAAAATATTTTGCACTTTTTCTTAGTCTTATTTAAAAATATATATTATAAAAGATGAATTACTTGATTTATATTTTTGTAACTTCATGAACTTATGAAAGTTTATGAAAGGTTTAAATTAATTAATATTTTTGTTTTTAAATAAATCAATAGCGTAATGAAAATATGTAATACATTTTTCAATACTATAAAATATTTCAAAACTTTCTTAAGCTTATTCAAAAATATATGTTATAAACAATGAATTACTTGATTTATATTTTTATAATTTTGTGAACTTATGAAAGTTTATGAAAGATTTAAATTGATTAATATTTTGTTTTTAAATAAATCAATAGTATAATAAAAATATATAATGCATTTTTTTTTAGGCTTATACAAAAATATATAATATAAACAATGAATTACTTAATTTATATTTTTTGTCAGTTTGTAATTTTACTAAAGTTTACAAAATATTATAAAATAATTAGTAATATATTAATAAAATCTATACTGAAACAAAAATTGATAACTTTTAAATTATTTTTCAATACTTTGAAATATTTTGAAAGCTTTTATATACTTGTAATACTATTTAAAAATATACTATAAACAATAATAAAATATAAGGTAGATATGCCTAATTTGGCTTGGTACCTAATTCAGCATACTAACGATATCTTACGAACTGTTGATTAGAATCATGTGATTTTGATACCATTTGATTCATCATGATAAGACAAATTGAATGGTACCAAAATCATATGATTCTGATTAATAGTTCGCAAGATATTATCATTTAACCAAAATAGCCTACATACAAGATAAATATATCTAATTAGTATAGTGTCTAATTCAGCACACTAATGATATCTTACGAACTGTTGATCAGAATCATGTAATTTAGGTACCATTTGATTTGTCTCATCAAGACGAATCGAATATTACCAAAATTATAAGATTTCAAATAATAGTTCGCAAAATATTACATTGGAAATCTTTAATGTGCCGAATTAGGCACTGTGCTTAAATAAGACTATATTTTTAGATAAACTTTTAAAAAGTGATATCTTGTGATTCATATCAAAAAACTCTCCCCTGTAGATCCCCGTACCAATTTGGAGCTAAAGAAAAACATATAGTACAGAGCTAAATACACTAGTCAGCAAGGTTTTGATGCATAAACAAAAAGAAGCAATACAAAAAGTTACTATAGGTTACATAGTAGCAAAACTTCAACAGCCTTGTTTAGACAGAGCTAGAGACGAAACTAGTATTTCTTTAAAAAACTTTTAAAAAATTTCTGTAATTTGGGGAATCGGCATTGACCCTATAACATAGATCAATTGTGACAACAACAAACCTGATGCGTAACACATCATTGCTAAAACAAGCAATCAACGTAACTTTTTGGTAACTTGTATTGAGTAAACAAAAATCCTCATGTGTATTGATATATCAAGTAAATCACGTGTTTAAAATAGAAGAACTTATGAAATTCAAAGACCTGTTTAAGAAAAACAAACAGGAAAACAATATCTTATTTCAAGAGCTCAAGTGAGAAAAAGAAATAAAGGATCAAAAAATTGCAATGTGGCTTGGTATGGATTCAACAGAAGTAGTAAGCATAATTAGGAAAACAATCGAAATGTTCAACTGGCTGAGATGCAAAGACACAAGAGGTGATATTTTAACAACAAACGAACAGAACCTTTTTTATTTCCCAGCCATACTACAGGAAAACAAAGCTACAGCAACAAGTAGTAAGGTGTTACATATCAAAGAAATACTTCTTTTAACAGAATGTAATACTACCAATTATGGAGTAGAAGAGATTCTGAGTATAATCAATTCAAATCAGAATTCACTAACCAATACTAAGTCCGAGTCTCAAGTCAAAATGCCAAATGACCTTAACCCAAAAAGAGGCATAGATAGATTGGAAGATAGTTCCAATGAGGCCACTCCCAAGCATATACGACATGAGAAAACTAAACGAAGTATCAAGATAGTGGAAGCAACAAACCACTCTAATCAATTTATTGAAACTACTCCAACAGTAAAAGAAAAACCACACAAGGTTGTAACATGCCTTACTTTATGGGATCTGCCTAATGAAACTAAGGCAAATCAAATTAGAAGGGCTCTAAGTTTTTATGGTAGAGCAATAGTAAAACATTTCATGACCAACGGCAAGACAAAGGCCGCGCAAGTTGAAGTTACATTTAGAAATCAAAAAAGAAGTGATGAATTGCAAAATTCGTGGGAGGTGCACTTCGAAAATGGCAAGATAATAAGAATAATGCCAGGATTCTTAGACAAAGAAACACTTGTAGAAAGAAGCAAATTCAAATTAGTTGTAAAGAACTTACCCAAAATAGCAGCAGAATCAGCACTATTAAGACAACTGAAAAATATAAAGATAAAGGCAATGTATATCTCGACAAATAGTAATGGAAACCAAAGAGGCACTGCTTCAGTGTACTTTGCTTCAAAAGAAGACTAATTAAAAGCAATGGAACAAATAGTTTATTATTTTAACACAAAACTAGAATGGGCAGACTTGGTTAATGAGGAAATCAAGAAATCATGCCAACAACCTAGAGAAAAGAGTAGTATCTTAAAGTCTCATAACGCCAGTATTAGTTATCTAACAGATAAAGAAAATATAAACCCAAAAAAGATGACTACAGACTCATTAGAAAAAAAAGAGGTTTTTGGATCTAAACGCAAACTCAACAACAACTACAAGGAACAACAGCCTCCAAGCAATCTTAATAGAAGACAAAATTCAAAAACCTAGCAAGCTGTAAAAAAAGAGAAAGGAAGAGAGAATATTCAAACAGACTTGCTGTATGAAATCTTAAAGAGGCTTGAATTACTAGAAGAGCACCAGAGTGGGGGTGATAGCCCCAATCACTCCTAAAAGGAGCTATTGGCATCTTAACAAATACAGGTACCCCGAATAACGGCCAGGTTCGGACACAAACAGTACCTACTTTTAACCCAAGACTGGTCAAACAAACAGAGATAAAGTTGGCAACACACAATATAAATGGACTAAATATACATAGACATAAACTAGGGAGAAGAAAATGGTTTTAATATGTTAGGGATTACAGAGACAAACTTGCAAGAAACTAAGGCAAGGTTTGTAGCGAAGAACAATATTAGGTTTAGAGGAATTTGGTCTTTAGCTTCGAAAACAAAAAAAAAGAGTTTTGGAGTAGGGCTTTTTATTAGAGAAAAGCTAGAAAAGCATATAGGCAAAATAGAGAAGCTAAAAGAATTTTTATTGGTAGTATATTTATATTTTAAGAATTACAATGTGATAATTTTTACGGTATATATCCCTCTAGCAGACAAGGTTGCCACAAAAAAGATAGAGACTATGATATGAGAAAGAATAGTCAAGTTTCAAGAAGATGTATTCATAGCAGTAATGGGGGATTTTAACTTTGTAGTAGATCTTACATTAGATAAGTTATCTCAAATTGATAATAACAAAAGACTGAAAATACATAATTGGCTTAAAGAACAAGAGTTTGTTGATATATACAGACTACTTAATCCACACAAAAGAAAATTATTTGGAGTAATAGCTCAGTAGCAACAAGAATAGACCAAGTATAGATTTCAAAAGAAATGATAGAGGTAGTGTATGAGGCCGATATATGTAAGATGACAACAGTTACAGGAAGCGACAATGATTTGGCCTATACTAAGGTTGCTTGGAGTATAGCAATGTCCTTGGAGAATGAGGTAGATAATCGCTTATCTAACACGAAACAAAGAGTTTGAAAACTCGACAATACAACAGAAGAGAACTGGTGTGACTACCAAAAAGACCTATAGAAGCGATTAAATAGTAAAGAGCTCAATATGCTCAAAGGATATACTTTACCAATAGAGGCGAGGGTTTTAGAACAGCTTGAATCAAATCTTGAACAATTGTAGGAAGTGATAGAAAAAGCAATTATACAGGCAAGCCAAATTAATTTGCCAAATAAAGTAATAGATTTTAGGAAAAGGCTAAAATATAAGAACAGAGAAATCAGGTTCTTCAAAGCAGCATCTTCACTAGGTAAAATAATTAGAGAGCAAAGTCGTTGGATATATCCACTCTACAGAAGAAGGCCCCTATATGGAACAAGAAGGTTAAACAAATAAATATATGAGCCAATAGTAATATTGATAAAATTGAACTAGCAGAAATATCAAACATGGTGTGAAAAAGCGACTACCTGGTGGAAAGCAATAGAAGGCAAGTTAGTGATGGATTATAAAAAAGTCAAGAAAAAAGAAATCCAGCTATATATGCAGAGAAGAGCTGAACAAATTGTAAATGAACAAAGGAAAATGTTAGCTAGCTTACTAAAATGGCTATATAACAAAGTTACTTTGGATAGAGTATATATACAAAACCACAACTCAACTAAGCTAGCGAATGATCCAGTAGAGATGTTAGAAGAAGTTCGTGCACACTTTCAGAACCAATTTGTAAACAAGAAGAATGACAGTATAGAACTAAAAAGTATATAGTTTGGAGAATACCAACCGAAAGAGCGAATTCAAGAGGCCTGGTATAACCCACTAAGCCAACCGATAATATTAGAAGAGTGGCAGTCAATTTTGAGCAAAAGCAATACGAATTCAGCACCTGGAATCTTAACAATCACATACATATTACTAAAGCAGGCAAATACTAAATTACAATTGGTATTTAAGAACTTTGCAGAATTATGTCTTCGCTCAGGCAACATCTCAAGTAAATGGAAAACGATCCAGGTTTATCCAATCCCAAAATGGCAAGATTGGGAATACAATTTAGATAAAGTTAGACCAATTGCTCTAATAGAAGTATTTAAAAAATGTATTACAAAGATTCTAACTAAAAGATTGAGTAAAATCATTAAGGAAAAAAATATTCTGCAAGGCCCTAACTTTGCTGGTTTACCAGGAAACTCGACAGAGGAACCAGTGCATATACTAAAAGCTCTTATCGAAGAGGCAGAAGAAAGCAAGCAAGAAATATGGGTCTTGTTTCAGGATATAAAAAAGGCCTTTGACTCTGTAAATCTTATTATGCTACAAAAAGCTCTCAAAAGAATCAAAGTTCCAGATCTGTGCTGTAAATTGGTTCACAATCTCTTTGTAAACAGAAAACTAAAAATAATAACAGCATATGGTCTGTCACAAGAAATCATAGCTAAAGGGGGTATTGATCAGGGTGAGGCTATTTTACCTCTCTTGTGGAGAATATTCTATGACCCATTGTTAGACCATATACAAAGAGATGCAGGGTTAGGTTATAAAGTTAGGGTGCCAAAGCATATGAAAACACTATTAGGGATCGAAGAGCTTAAAGATGCAAGGCAGGCAGTTCTCGCATACGCCGATGACACCACATGGATTGCGAGCTCGAAAACTCAACTAGAGCAAATAACTCAGATAGCAGAACAGTTCTTCAAACTAAATGGTATAGAAATTAATAGTAGCAAGTCCAAACTCGTTGTACTTAATTCAGAACTTTCTTCAACAGAGAAACAAATAGATTATGGTAGAGCATTTGTTAAAGCAGAGAAAAAACTGCATAACCTCAAATTTCTTGAAATATTCCTATATGTAAGAAAAGAGGTAGTGGAAATCAAAAAGAAATTGAAACAAATAGTAGACCTCTTTACGTATAAGTTAGAAAGGAAAAAAACTACAGCTAGCCAATTAGTTTATATAAACAATCAAGTTTTAATTCCCAAACTGGAGTATATTCTGCAAACAGTAGCATTAACGGAAAAAGAGTTAAACATAATCCACCAGCTATTTCTGAGACTGATAAAGAAGAAATTAGGAATAGCGCAAACTACACCTAATAGCATTTTAATCTATGGTGTACACGCGGATGCAGTATTAGCAAAACAGGCCATAGCACTAATCAAAAGACTAAACAGCATAGGAATAGTAGAGAAGATAACAAAGCTAAGAATTAGACAAGAAATACTCAGAAAAGGCATAACTCAAGATGTCTGGAGTTCATCAATATATAATACAACAAGTTTCAGCCATAGAGATAATATCGCATTAAGCACAGTTGAACATTGCAAAAAGATAGGTTTGAGGTTTACAACAAAAGAAAAAGGTTGGTGTATCCTAGGCTTGGGAACATCAATAGCAAGCATGTTTAATCCAGTAGACAGAAAGAGGTATAGTAAATGACAAACAGACCTAGGCCTATATTTCATTAATTAACTACTAGATATAAAAGATAGAAACTTATTAACTTGGCATCAAGTAAAAGCAATAAAAAACTGGCATTGTAGTGGAAAAGTTCCACGTTGGTACAAAGTAATAGAGAATCTAATACTTGAAAACAAAGAAGAACGTAGAGTCAAACAGCAGTTTCAAGTTCAAGAGACAAATTGGGAGGCTATGGTACCAGTCCTCCTAGGAATTAGTGCAGATAAAAAACAAAAGGATTGGGTTTTACATTGTGATGAAACAAACCAGCTCAAAATCAGCCGCGTTCAGAAAAAAGAAACAGACTCAATAGTGGTTAATCAATGGATTGAGTCAACCCAGAAGAAAAAGGGAGCTCGTTTAGAACAATGTAGTGGCTGTAAACTTAGTGAAACAGACAATGAAAACAGGTGTACGTTCAAATTAAATATAAGCCAAGTAGTAGGAAAAATAGATTATGTTGCCAAAGACGAAGAGGAATGGTGTCTCAGAATTCCACTAAAGATATATAGTGTTTTCGCTATAGAAAACGACATATCAGAAGACATATTTAAAGAATTAGATGAAATTAATGATAAAGATCTTGAATATATAAACAACCTTAATCTTTTAACCAACATTTGGCAACATTATCACATGGTTTAAAAATTAATTTCAGCCAAAAAAGACAGAACTGTATTTTCTACACCGATGGCTCATGGGTCCCAAATAGCCTAATTGAAAATGAGAAAGATAGAATAGGCGCTGGTTGGGTTCAAGTTACGGAGGATGAAAAATAGCAGTCTTCAAAGGCAAAGTTAGAATAAGCGACTAGCTATCATCAACAAGACCCGAGTTGGCTGCAATTTTGTGTGCTCTATTAACAGTAATAGGAAATGCTTGTGTACAGGTTAAGACAGATAGCTCAGCAGCAATCTCAGCCATAAGACGGGCATTAAAAGAAAAAGATTTTAGCAAGGGGCTGAAAGTGAAAAATAGAACAATACTTGACAAAA